GTAGTTTTTAGGAGCAGCCTATTTTCGTTTTTTGATTTTAGTCTTAGTTTTGATTAATTTCCATAAGATTAGTTTTTGGAGAATTAGTTTAAGTTGACTTTTTGGTTCCTAGTTTTTCCAAACGTTTTTTGTTTTCTTTAATTAAGTTTAATGCTTTTCATTAACTTTAATATTTATCATATCTCAGTTTGTTTTCATTGTTTCTTCGTATATATTTCTTTAGACTTTCGTTATTACTCTGTTTAATTTTAGCTTGGTTAATTATTGTTTTAAATATGTTTTCTTTAATCGCTTTGATTAGTTTAATTTTAATTATACACGAGTAGTTTTATTGTAGGGTTATGGGGATCCATGATTAATATGAAAGGGTAATTTATTATTGTTAATTGTTAATGTTTAATTGATTTCCTATTGATTTATTTAATGTTATGCAATTAGATTAGCGCTGGTTTAATTGTATGAGTAATGCAATATTATTGATTCGAGATTCGAGAGATGAGAATTAATGTTTAGGCTTAGTGTCAACAGGCAGGTTAATTTATAAATGGTTAAGTCGAGATTCTAGAGATGAGATTTAATACCGGTAGATTAATTCTGTGATTGTAATACGTAGTGAAAACCCTTTATGATCTGATTAATTGATGCATTGATGTTTGATTATTATGTTTTATCCTGGAATGTTATTTATTGGTGAACCTATGCCCTAGGTCTTTTATTCATTGATTTCTTCTATTTTTATTCTTCCTACTTTACTCTTAGTAGTTTATTATTCCTTCGATTATAATATTTTGTTACTCTATAATCTAGATTATAATAATTAATTAGGAATAGAAAGACTCGTTTACCTGTGGATTCGACCCTACTTCCCTATCTATTTTAGTTAGTGGTTTTAGGAATTACTTTTGATTAGGTGAACGTTTCTCGGAGATCAGCAAGGTGATCCGCCTGTTGCTTGGATTTGACTATCATGTCATCAATGTACGCCTCCACATTCCTCCCAAATTTATTAATGAAGACCGTATTAATCATCCGTTGGAAAGTGGCAGGCGCATTTTTCAAGCTAAACGACATCACAGTATAACAGAATAACCCCAAATCAGTGACGAAGGTCGTATTCTCTTGATCTTTCTTCCAGAGGGGTATCTGATGGAAGCCAGAATAGGCATCCATAAAGCTCATCAAGGCGTGACCGGCTGTAGAGTCGACCAAACTGTCAATCTTTGGAAGCGGGTAACTGTCCTTTGGACACGCCTTGTTGAGGTCTGTGTAATCAACACACATGCACCAGGTCCCATTCGGTTTCTTAACAAGGACCACATTGGCCACCCAGTCGGTGAAATTACAAGGCCGAATGAATTCGACGTCTAGCAGCCTTTTGACTTCGGCAGCTGCCGCCTGACTTCTTTTCTCGCCCTGGTTTCTTTTCTTTTGTCGGATGGACTTCTTTTTGGGTCCACGGCGAGTTTGTGGACAGCGAGATCCGGGCTGACGCCTGGCATCTCTTCCACTTCAAAGACAAAAATGTCTTTGAATTCTTTCAGCAGAAGGTGCAAGCTTGTACCCAGAGTAACATAAGCAACCGTCCCAACATTTACAGTACGCTCTGGACGGCTGTCATCCAGTGCGAGATCAATGTTTTCACCAGCCGGTTGGGGACGGAGCTCGTCTGACCGTTCACTGGTCAGTGATTGCTATTTTTTCTCTTTCTTCACCTTCATCAGCAAAGGTGTCTTTCTTCTCTTCCCGACTGCTGGTGGGGCGGGTACTGGGTCGGCATCCTTAACATTGTCAAGGTCTATTGGTTCCTGGCCTTCTGGGGCCACATTATCTTTGACGACTGAGAGGTAGCACTCTCGGGCCGTCTTTTGATCCCCATTCAAGGAACCAATAGAGCCGTCATCCCTCTCATACTTGATGAGCATGAGGGAAGGGATGATTACCGCCTTGGCTTCGTTGAGGGTTGGCCGGCCCAAAATAATGTTGTAGGCGATCAGCTCCTCAACAACCAAGAACTTGACGACCAGGTATCGCCCTTTCCCTTTCTCACCCCGCCGGATTGGTAAATCAACCTTTCCGACTGGGTAAACCATTCCACCCCCAAAACCAACAAAGGGGTGGGTAACCGGATGCATGATGTTGTCATTGTATTTCAGCTTTTGCAGGCACCAGAGGCTGATGATGTTTGATGAGCTGTCGGTGTCAATAAGGATCCGTCCAACCAGCTGGTTGACAACCTTACATTCAATGACGACCGGGTCATCATCCGGACGGCGGACACTACCCCTGTCCTTCTCAGTGATCAGAACATTTAGGAAGGAGGAGCTTGCAGACGCCTGTTCATCATCATCTTTGTCCATCTTTTGAAGATGGCTCTTGGTGCCCCGGATGGTAGGGCCACCACATGAGAACCCGCCTGCTATTGTGTAGACCAGATCCTTGTCGGTATCCGAGCTACTAGCAGGCTGGTGGGTAGTCTTGGAGGACTGACCCTTGTTCTTCTTTTTTGCCCCGGCTGGGGACTTAGAAATGTAGGACTTCAACAGCCCTTTGTCAGCCAGACAATCCAACACCCGCTGAAGACTGAAGCAGTCGTTGGTGTCATGGCCAACCTCCTCATGGAACTGACAGAATTTATTTTTTTTCCGTGACTGAACGAAACTCTTCATTGGATTCGGCTTGTCAATGGACAGCCGGTCCTTTACCTCCATGAGGATGGAGTTGCAGTCTTTATTAAACTCGTATTTGGGGACATACGACTTAAACTCTCTCTTTTTCTTCTAGGACGGATGGTCAGAATCACTAACCGCCCAGACTTCTTTTCTCTTTTTGCTCTCTTCTTTCTTGTTGGTCGGCTGAGCAGACCGGATTTCCTTTTGTTTGTCAGACTTCTTGGAGTCTGACTGACCACTAGGCGTTCAGAGGTCGGTAGCTTGAATATAGCTCTCCCCCTCCCTCAGGCCGCCTGCCCCATTTCTGACGAGGTCAAATTTGAAATTTGACCCGTCTCTCAGACCCTGTAAATGCTACCTCGTCAGACAGTCCCTGGATCTGGATTCTGACCAGGTTGAACCGCCTGACATATGAGCGTAGCCCTTCTCTCTCACCCTGCTTAACGGTGCTCAAATCAAGGCTTGTTTTCTTAGCAGGGATGTTTATGGAGAAGTTGGTGGCAAACAAGAAGGCTAGCTTCTTGAAGCAGTCAATAGAACCGACTGCCAAGTTGCCAAACCATTGTTGGGCAATGCCCTTCAATGTAGCCGGGAAACATCGACACCAGGTGGCATCATCCCAACCCTGTAAACACATGAGGTTGGTGTATGCCATCAGGTGGTCTTCTGGGTCGGTGGTACCATCATAGGTGCCCACCAACACATTCTTAACCTTAGACGGCTGAGCCGCCTCGGTTATATTCTTGGCGAACGCAGAGGGTTGTTCACCAAGCTTGAGATGCCGGAGCTGCCAGTCTAGAGGTTGGACGTTGTGATATGCCGCCTGACCTCCAAAGAAAGTCGGTTGCATATAGTAAGGTGGGTACTAACCGTAGACCTGAGACGGTACATATGGCGCAGTCCCGATCATCTGAGAGCCAGAGTGGACGGTATTACCGCCTGTTTGACTCTCATGCAAGGAAAGTGCATTCCCTACAGAAGTATTGTTGAAGCTGTCTGGAAAATTCGACGTAGAATCCAACTTAGACAAATGTTAATTTCTCTTCCGGTTGATGATCTCCCGGGCATCAAGAGTTGATTTTTTACTTCCCTCCGGCTGCTGAGTCCGGCGGGTATTGTTGGTATTCCTCTTAGGAAGAAGAATTTTGGACCAATCAATGGTCCCGTTTGCCTTCTCCTTTGGATGAGGAGTGGGCTGCCGATCTCTGACTGACTTCCCCTTTTCCAGAGGAGTCTTCTTGACCGTCTGAACCCTACTTGGGCCAGCCCGGCTCTTAGTTATCAATTCTTTAATTTTACCCTTGAAACTTGTCATGAATCTCATGAGTTCGTCTCGGGTGATAGGTGTTGATCCAGCTGCCGTATGGGTTTCCCCTTCCGGCTGCCCAGGGGGTCGATTTGCACCCGCCTGGGAGGCACCCCGCTCCAGAGTCTCTCTGGGCCGGATGCGCTTGGTTATCAGAGAGCCATTGTAGAGAATAATTTCAAGCGTTAATCTCCTAGTTTGAACCCCACTGTGATCGTACACTAAAGTACGGTGGCATCCAAAAGGGAAGAAGATAGAGCAAAAGAGTCGCCAACAAGTTTTAGGAACTTGTAAACCGTTCACGAGGTGAAGGTTACACCCCTTAACGATCCAAGAGATCGTCAACTCCATAGGGTCTTGAACCAAATAGGGTTCGGGGATGAAGGTACAAATCCAACCTAAAAGAGATTGAACCTGCCCTAATAATAGGCCTCTACTTTATTCTGATCGTATTCATGTGCGCTTTTCAATTAACATGCAATCAATAGGTTTACCCTAAACCTTTTTATCTATGTTGGTTGAATTTAATGCACAAATAAACCTAGTATTGGCGATCACTTGAAATTATAATCAAATTAACCCTAACAAGATTATTAATTATCTTAGTAAGCGTGATTACAAGTAGACCTGGAAAATGGGTCATTCGGGTCGGGTATGGGTCGGGTCATTTCGGGTCGGGTCAAAAGATTATCGGGTCAAGTTCGGGTCGAGTCGGGTCATTTCAGGTTTCGAGTTGATTTCGGGCGACTGATAATCGGGTCGGGTATCGGGTCAACAGTTCTGCTCGAGTTCGGGTTGGGTCAAGTTTGGGTCGGGTCAATTTTCGGGTCGGGTCAGGTCAATTTTCGGGTCCAATTTCCGGGTCAACTTCGGGTCGAGTCATATTCGGGTGATTCAATGGGTTAAGTTCAACTCTGTATATATATTTATTTATTTTTTGACGAAAAACTCACTATATTTATTAAGGCTATTTTTTTCATGGATTATAGTAATTGTTTGACTTTTATTAATTTTTTTTTTATTTGTGTGTTTAGAACTTTAGGCTAAGAATCACTTTCAGGATCTCCTGAAACTAAGAAGAACTAATTGAGTTATACCTCACTCTCTTATTGATCTTAGTTTTAATACGTACTCTTATTATCATTGTCATTGTTGTAATAATTTCTTTGAATTGTTCTTGTACTCCCTTCGTCCCAAATTACTCTTATGGCCTGTTTGGATGGCATGATTTCATTTCAAATTCAAGAATTGGGACAATTATCTTGTTTGGATACTTCAAAATTTTGGAATTATATTTGGCCCAATTCCAAGATTACATAAATCAGTTATGTTTTATGAATTTCAAATTCTAACCCAATATACGTCATTCTAAATTCTCTCTCTTCAAACATACATCACCCTTTTACTCCTTACCTCCTTTATCCTCTTCAGTCTCTCTCCTCTGCTAGCTATTCCTGCTCACTGCCACAATATCACAATATATCTCCGACGGCAACCACTGCACCACCGCAAACGCCGGAGTGTCGTCAATTTGAAGCTCATATCAAGTATCAAATTTATTTCCAAAATTAAAAGTAATAAAGCTTTAGTTTCTTTGGATTAATCTATTTTTGACAATTTATCTGAAGTCATTTTTTATTCATTCACTCGTTAAAAAGGGGGCAAAAATTAGGGTTTATAATTTGATGTTAAAACATCAAATAATACGATTTTTGAAAAAAAAATCTGAAATTTATGCAACAATTTTACCTGAATTTGAGTTGTAGCATCTACTTCATAATTTGCTCTTGTATGATCTGACGCTAGTGATGAAGATGATGATGGCCACTGCCGATAAAGTCTTCTAATTTGGCTATTTTTTGTAATTTTTTTTTTTTGGTATCCTCCATTTTTTTTTTTTTGACGGGTGGTATCCTCCAATTTTATTAGTCACTGACCACTGTTGATGAATAACATGGAGTGTGTTGATATTACTCATAAAAGTTTCAATTCCATCTTTACAAATTCAACTCACCCCAACACATGACTTGGAATTTGAAATTCTAGATTTGAAATAATGATGTTTTCCAAACACATCTTTTGGAATTGAATTCTAAAATTTCAAATTCTGAATTTCAATTCAAGCATTTGAAATGAATTACTAGTATCCAAACACAACCTTAACGATTTGACATTTTGCACTATTCACACATCTCACTTTGACCATCTTTTTTAGCTATTATATGAAAGTCAATGTAGTCATGTAAGATGTTGTTGGGTCTATTTTAATGTATAATTTCCTAATATAAACTTTTTATACTACCTCCGTTAACTTTTATTTGTAACTTTGGGGTATTATTTGTGAGATATAAAAAGTTCCAAAATTGCAAATAAAAGTTAACGGAGGTAATAACTTATATAATTATTTACTAAAAGAAGTTAAAGGTCGGGTCATTTTCGGGTCGGGTCAACTTTGGGTCTCGGGTCAACTTCGGGTCGGGTCGTTTCGGGTCTCGGGTCAACTTTTGGTCGGGTCATCTCGGGTCGGGTCGTTTCGGGTTGGGTCATTTCGGGTTTCGGGTCAAGGTCGAGTCAGTTCCACTTCGGGTCGGGTTAATTCGGGTTTTGGATCAATTTCAGGTCACTGGTTTCGGGTCAATTTCGGGTCATTCGGGTCGGGTCATCGGGTCTGGGTCAGGATTTCCAGGTCTAATTACAAGTACCAATTCCCTTTAAACATGCATAAAAAGGTGTGATCAAGCAATAAAAATAAATATCAAGCAACATAATAAATAATTATAATCAATCATTATAATAGTCATAATAATAATAATCATCATCATCACAATAATAATAATAATAATATTCATAATCATCACAACTTATAACAATTATAATTATAATCATGTTCATGTTAATATTAAAGCATAAAAAAAATAGCAAGATCCTAGGCATGATACTAACAAGATTAATAACAAACCCTAGCATGTCACTAAGCAATAAAAATCATATCTTTAGCCCTAACATGATACTAACAATCATAAATATTAGGATAAGAATAAACGGCATCGTAACAATCATATTAAGCATATTTGATATTATAACTTTTTCCCTAAACATGATACTAGGAATATCATAATAACAATATAAACATGATTTCTACATCAAAATATCAATAAAAATCATTAAAGTACTTACTTTGATGCCTCGTACCTCTTTCTAATAACAAAATACACACGTTAGTAACTTCAAGGAAAATAATAATCAAAACAATTAAATTAAATAATTGAAATAGAGATTTGGGACCAAACCCTCAGAAATTAAAACCTTTCACGTCTAGGGCGAAGGCAACTTCGAATATGGCTAGGTGTTTCTAGATCTTGCGAATGCGGAATTTTGTATATAAAGACCAGTTTAGAAAAGGAGAAAGAAAGAGATGAATGAATGATTAGAGAAGAGAATGAGATTTAGCGAATGATTAAAGAGAATGAAAGAGAATTGAAAACTGGTTGTAGGTGAATCTAGATGAATGTTGATGAGAATTGGTGAATGAAAACGGAGTTTTTACGACGTTATTTATAGAGAAAATCAGCCAAAAAGATAAAATATCAAAACAGAGCATCTGACGCACCTAAAATAGAGCTGGCGCCAACACTGTTTTTGACGCGCTTTCTCAAATTAGATAAATTTTGCCGTACAAGAGGATAAAATCGTATATTTTCCTCAAAAATACTCTTTGATTTTAATTAAAACTCTGAAAAGTCAACAAAAGTCAATTTATCAATGCTATTTGAATTAGGAATGAAAAGAACGTTCTAGAAGTATCTAGAAGACTAAAACCATTCCAGGAATGATAAATCATATTAGGCCCTCCCCTAGATCATTGGGTCGCACATAAGGCTCAAACCGGGCCCAGTTTAGTAGATTGGCCATAATTTCCTTAATATTTATCGGAATTGGGCTTATAATATATCGTTGGAAAGCTCTTGTCAAGCCCCATCCAACTACACTACTATTAGACCCATATCATGGACCAACCAAATTGGATTGGCTGTTACCTTAAAATAAGTTTTCAAAAACAAAGAGAAGAGAAAAGAAATTAAAACTTTTCGCAACACTAGACTTTCCACACTTTCGCTTCATTCGATTATGATTCGACGTGAAAGGTACTCATCACTAGGTTTGGTTTTGGGGAGACACAAATGGGTGTCTACAGCCATCATCGGCTGTATAGGTTTCGACCTGAGGATCTTCATCCTCCTGGTCTGTAAAAACTTCCGGGTCATCACCCAGACGGTTAGGAGGTGGTACAGACTCTTGAACCATCTTCGAGGTACTCTCCCCACAGACGGCGCCAAATGTTTTGGGTATTTTTGTCCCTCGGGAGAGTTACAACACAAAGACTGGTCTGGTGCGGCCTGTACCTGCAAAACAAACGGAGATACCAGTCGGGTGGTGCTCCGCCTCCGACAAACAAGTTAGTAACTTGAAGGGAGAGAAAAAGGTGCGGAAATTTAGGTGGGTATCTGCTCGGATTTCAAGCTCAGATGTCTCTATCACAAGGACAGTTTGTAATAAATGGTAAAACGTGTCCTCCAAAATAGGGGAATCTCCCTATTTATAGGGTCCTCGGGATTTGTGCTCCTGATTAGGTCACTGAACCCTAATCATTGGTGGGTTGCGCGGCATTGCGGCTTTCTTGGGATTTGGGCCTGAAGGCCGCCATTTCCCCCAAGTTTCTGGAGTGACACGTGTCAAGCAGGAATAGGTCCACTTTGGGCCATCCTGGGGCTGACACGTATCATCCTCTGATTGGACCACGTGGCGGGGTAAAATTACCCTAAACACTATCGAAAACTATTTTAAATTTAAGCATTTAGTTCAAAAAATGATTGATGAAAAGAAACTAGTCCAAGTTCTACAAGAAGACGATGCAACCATTAATGGAGTTTTGGACAATGAGGAAGAAGATGTCTATTTAAAAGACATAGTAGGATCCCCAGCTTCTGTGTCGTACGCCATGGATGACTTTTGGGCTGAAGAAGACTCATCGATAGACGTCCTCACAAGATCCGGGAGAATGCAACCTCCCATTTCAACACAACCTATGCCGACCACACAACAAGTTCCCATACCTATCATTGAAGACAATGATATTGTTAAGCAGTTTAAGAAGACAAAAGTTGAGATGAACGTATGGAAACTTTTGGCGACATCTCAAGAACATAGGTTGGCTGTAATGAACACCTTGGACAAAATAGGGATAGATTCTGACACTACTCCTGAGGGGTTAGCCAACTTCCTCACAAGTGATCTTCCTAGTCCAATTAATTTGATCACCTTTTCTGACAAGGATTTACCTTCAGAAGGTGACAAACATTACAAGGCATTAAACCTCACAGTAGTTTGCAAGAGAATGAATGCTCCTATGACTCTTGTAGACAATGGATCGGCCATCAACGTCTGTCCACTTAGAACTGCGAGAATGATAGGCATAAGGGATGAAGATTTAACTCCGTCTACACAAGGAATAAGGGCCTACGACAACACTTGACGTCAAGCTCTTGGTAAAATTACCCTGAACGTAACGGCGAGAGCCATTGAACATGCTACCACTTTCCAAGTGGTAGACATTAAAGCTTCGTTCAACTTACTGTTGGGGCGCCCTTGGCTTCATGACCTAAAGGTCGTCCCCTCATATCTCCACCAACAAGTAAAAGCTATATTGGGGGAATTCCTATCACCATCGATGCTTCGCCTATGAGGATGAAGTCTATAGAAAATCCAATCATTAACGTGGAGCATGACGAGGATGATGAAGACTTATGGGGCTTTAACGAAGAAGTCTCCTTGATCCAGGAGGATGAAAGGACCCCTCTTTGCCATGACCCCCATTCCAACATGATTGTAAATGCTATGCTGAAGAAATAAGGACATTTTCCTGGGATGACCCTAGGAAAGAAGAAAGGAATAGCAAAATCGCTGGAGTCACCTGGCCTCCCTAAGTTAGACACTTTCGGACTTGGTTTCGAACTAACTCGGAAAGATCTCAAGCGAGCCCAGGAAAAGTCAAAGGCACGTAGAGACGCTCGCATTCAAAAGAAAGCAATCCCAATGGATCAGTACCTTCTTACACTTAATGGCCAATTTATAAAAGAAGGAGAGGACTATCCATGCCATGAATTTATAACAGAGCTGTCATCTGGCGCTACAGTTAAATGGCTGGCGCTAATACTCTGTTCGCTGACGCTAATTCCTACATGCCTCAGCAGCTTTCTGTGCTCGATAAAATTTTTCAGTTTCGCGCAGTGTTATTTCGGTCCTAGTTGTGAAAGATATTTCTCAAATTTCCTACGTGTAAAATCCTATGTTTTAACTCATTACGGATGGTCTTTCCAATGAGATCTTTTTTATGCATATGAAAATAATGTTAATCAAAATTACGCACATGAAATACTTAGAACGTTTCGATTCTTATCCACTCATTCTAAATCATTGCCAAAATAAATTTTAGGAATTAAAATAGAAATCCTCCCCAGTGGAGTCGCCAAAAACTGTAGGGAATATTTCAAGCATTAACCCTATCTTGAACCCCATTGTGATCATACACTAAAGTACGGTGGCGTCCAAAGGGAAAGAAGATAGAGCAAAAGAGTCGCCAACAAGGTTTTTTAGGAACTTGTAAACCGTTCACGAGGTGAAGGTTACACCCCTTAACGATCCAAGAGATCGTCAACTCCATAAGGTCTTGAACCAAATAGGGTTCGAGGATGAAGGTACAAATCCAACCTAAAAGAGATTGAACCTGCCCTAATAATAGGCCTCTGCTTTATTCTGATCGTATTCATGTGCGCTTTCTGACTAACATGCAATCAATAGGTTTACCCTAAAGTTGTTTATCTATATTGGTTGAATATTAATGCACAAATAAAACTATTATCGGCGATCACTTG